GGCCGGCCGCGTCCCCCTCCGCTCACCGCCGGCCGCGGCTGAGGGCCGCCCCCGCACGCCTCCTCACCTCGGCCGCGCTTTAGCCTTTCGGCGGTGACCTGCCCCACGCCGCAGCCAACGCTAAGGCAGCGTTAGACTGCGAGGCGCAGAACAGTACTCGCGGTCAGCCCAGGCTCCCCTGGAGGAGGGGCGCCGGCGGAGCCGCATCCCGCACTCTCGTCCCCTCGCCGCACACCCGGGCCGGCCTTCCCCACCCCCCCGTGACCGACCACCCCCCTCTGGAGAGACCTGAAGGACGCGAAGCGCTCCCTTCGCCTCCGCCCTGCCCTGCTCCCGGTTGCGACCGCAAAGAGAGCTCCGCGGGGGCTGCCCGCTCCCGAGCGTGCCGAAAGCCGGTGGGGACGGGCCGCCGGCGTCAGGGCGGCACCCGGCCCAGGGTATCCGCGGTACGCCCCAACAATCCTCACGGGCATGCCCGCGCCCGGGGGTGCCGCCGCTAGCGCTCCCCGAGGCGGGGAGACGCGCACCGGCGAGATCCGACACCGGGTGGGGGAAGCGGCACGCGCTCCCACCGCCCACCTAGCGCCCCACCGGATCCGCCCGCTCGCTCTCATTCCGCGGCAGCTGAAGCCGGGAGCTGCGACCCCAGCTCAGGCACCCTCACCTCTCTCCGCCGGACTCCCAAGAAGCCCCTCACGGGCCAACGGTCGCCACAACGGCCCGCGCGCCCGCCAACCGCCGCGCCCGCACCGTCGGCGTTTGAAAAGCGCAGCCCGGTAGATGTGGCTGCCCCGGCTGCGCCCGCCCGGCCCGCCCACCTCGGCCGCAGAGAGCCAATCCGCGCCCAGCGGGGCCAGCCGTCCGCCCGGCGATTGGCGGGTCGCCTCCGCCCGGGGAGCGCCCCCGCCCGGCCGCCCTCGCCCCTCGAAGGCAGCCGGGGTGGGGGTGGCGGCGCGGGGCCCCTGCCGTCTGAGGCTGAGGCTGAGGCGGCCGGAGCAGCAGGTGCCGCCTGCCCGACCCGCCGCCTCCTCGCCCCGCTCTTTCCTGCGAGCCGAGGGGGCGCCGCCAAGGCGGCGGGGACGCGCTCCTGCTCTTCCTCCTCCTCCTTCTCCCGCGGTGCTGGGAGACGCGGCCTTGCCCGGCCCCGCTGAGGCGGACCGGCAGCCTTCCCGCCCCCCTCCCCCCCAGCGCCCCGGGGTGGTGCTGGACAGGGCCGCCCGGTTGTTTGGGCGCCAGCGGGGGAGCGGAGCGGGGCCGTGTGCCGCCGGCTGACGGCCGGCCCGCGTCCGGGGCAGCTGCGGGAGAGCCATTTTGTTTCACCGCCTGACGGAGCCCAGGGCGGCGAGAGCCGCCGGTTCGGGCGAGATGCAGCGATCGCATCTCCTAGGCAGAGCGCTGCATTTCACCTAGAGGCTGTACTGAGGCTTATCGGGGTGTACGCTGCCTCTCCAGCAGTACCAGAACAAAGGGGAAAGGTTGAGGCACGGGGGCAGCACGAGGTGCATGAGGTGCGGCGGGGCAGAGGGCAGCGGCACGGCCGCCGCCCGAGCGCGGCGCCGGCGCCCGGGAGGCCGCCCGGGTCTGCGGCGTTCCCTTTCTTTTCTGGCCTAGTGTGGCTGGGGATCTGACACACAAACCCACAACCACAGTAACAAAACTCGCGTGCGCTTACCGGCAGCGACTGCACACGGTTAGGCTTTTACGTTACGACGGAGCCTGCAAAGTCTTGGGCGACCGTAGTACTGGCTCGGTCCAGTTAAAAACAGAAACTGGTGTACCAGTTCTCACACAACACATGCATGTTCAAACGGGAGCAGAACCTACTTTTTATTGCTTTTATACAAGTACACATCTCTCTCGGACCCTGTTTGACAATCTCTTTTTCATCCACGTAAGTCGCAACTCAGTCTTCAGAACCTCTTGCTTTAAGGAGCCCAAAGGAGAAAAAAAAAAGTTAAAAGACTTTAACTTGTGGTTTCAAAAAGACCCTTTCTGAGGATATAAAATAGCCTAAAGCATGCTTTAGAAATAAGTTGAAATGAGAAAGAGTTCTAAAATAGCTGCCATTTGTTTGTCAAATTGATTTCCTCTCTGAAGCAATCCAACCAGCTGCCCTAGAAATTTGCAAACATCCGTTTTACAATAGATTTGTCATAAAGGCAGTAATAGTAACATAGCATAAGAGTTTAAGAGTTACAAATTCAATTTCAGCGGTGCACCATTAGAGTTACTGTGTTAATTTTGTTTACACCGCAGCACTGCCAGTGAAATGGGCAATTGCTATATGCATGGCGAGTAAGTACCCAAGTCATGCTGTCACAGCAATGCTTACATTAAGATTAGTTCAAGTAGTACAAATGAAGATGAGATACACAGTTTGAGAAAAAGGAAAGTATTCTTGAAGACTTTGGAATATGTTACACCATGCAACTGACACAGTAAGATACACCTACTAAAAACAAGAGCTACTTTTCAAGTGTAACAACTCCTCACTTAACCTTCCATCTAAGTTTTTAGCATTTTTGAGCTGGGGATATTTTTTTACAAAGTCCAGAATCTTTACTCTGTCCCACAGAGTTCCACCATCTCTGCAGAGTTCCAGACTGTACCCTTTCTTCATTATAACATGATTTCAAATACATCTGCCAAACAAAAAGACAACATGTAGAAAGGATTGGTTTTGAGGAGAAGCGTTCTTTGTGCAGCATGAAAAGCAAGCAGCATTCCGAACATACCAAATGATCCACAGGAGTAAAATTAAATGATAACTACAATTAAGATGTTTTAGGTTATTATAGCACATAGTGCCAAGAAGTAAATGACAGTGCTTATGTTTGTCTCCTTAGCTGCCTGTGTATCTTCACCGATCCTTTTCAAGGCCAGGATTTGCTCTACTCTCCTTTTGAGTTCTGAAAACCAAATAAATACTAAAAATGCTTCATGACATGCATGGTATTGTAGCCTTGGTTATCTGTTTATATAATGCCATAGAAACACGTATGGCACTTAGAGAAGGGTATAATTGGCAGGACTCCACCCTTAGGACTTTGGAATTTTACTTAGATACACCACCACAGAGAATGACAAACAAAGGGCGGAGAAGGGGGAGTGGTAGGCTGAAGGTCACAACAGTACAGAATTGTGAACTATGCTTATTACTAATGCGTACATCTGGTCATTAATTGCTATTTTTTAATTATCCCAAAGGTGTTAGCTTCATAATTCCCATTCTTCTCTTGCTTTCCTTAATTATCTATCCATTACAAAGCTGGCTTTTTGCAGTCTTCAGAGGCTTCCATGAAAAGAACTATTTCTTCTTGATCAGTTGTCCATTTGGCAAAGCTGTGATGTACCACTCACGTTGATCAGAGCCGTAAGTGGTTTAGGACGCTAACCTTGTGGAAAAACCTCAGTTCCCTCAAGAAGTGCCAATTTCAACTGAAACCTCCCATGGGGTTGATGTCATGTGGACTGAACAGCCAGCAACCTACCCTTATCAGCAGGTAACTGTGTCGCTAGAGTGGGGGACAAGTGCACAACATTGAGCCACACAGATGGAAGCTGAGAATGCCTGAGCCACCCTCTCCAGCTGAGCAGTCATTGACAAGGCAAGACCCTGATCTGTAGCACCAAAAAGGCCTCAAAAAACATGAGGCAAAAGAGTATCTCCACCAAGCTGTTAAGCCTCTTTGTGGTATAGCCGTTCCACGGGGCAGTACGTGCGTAAGTAATGCAACAACACATGCAAAACAAAGCCTTACCTGAGCATCTTCAGTGTTCTGCAGTTCAAAAGTCATGGGGAAAGATCCACATCTTCTATACGTTGCCTCTACTACTGCAGCCTTGAAGAAGCAAATCTGCGTGCAAAGTGGATGATTGTTGTTGCGCAAAGTACCCACAGCTGTTTGCCTGGCAAAAGAGCATGGATTTGGCACACCAGACCACCACACAGAGTAGTAGGCTAGCTGAAAAATGTGCTGATTCAGTGCATCTCAGACCATAGCATAAACCCACCCCCCCATCTTAGGGGATAATCCTGTACTTACACTGAATGTTGTTTCTCTCACTCTGTGGGGATAACATATGCAACACCACCCCCCCGCAAACCAGCGCCCTATAGAGATCACCCATGCCCCAAACATCTGCAAGAGCACTGTTAGCTGAAGCAACCTGTCTGATACCAAATCAACCTGAAGCATGAACTATTCACAGCACAGAATGACATTTTGCCACAGGCCCCTCAGAATCAGCATGCCACCTCCTGCCTCATCTGCAATAGACAGTTCTGGACGTGACCTAATCATTGAATACAGATCCCCCCCTCATCCAAAAAAGAATTATGTTTTTATTTAATACACATCATTTAAAAAAATCTGACTTTTTTTTTTTTTTTCCCCATGCCAAAATCTCTGCAGGAGTCCCACCACCTTCACACACAGGAAATAAGCAACAAAGGGCAATCCTCAATGCAACGGGCCAAGTCTCTGTATTTCACCCAGTCACCGCTTACCACAATTGCCCCAGTGTCACCCAGCATGAGCTTCATACAAACTCCAGTCTTCATATGGAGGGAAAAATGAGCAATTGGTCCGTTATCAGTGATCTGGATGAAAATGTCTTACGAGCCTTAACACTGAGAACGATGACAGAGAACAGAGTCTGAAAGGGCTCAGGTCTCAAAGCTTCTTCTCTGCCCACAGCAGCTCCCTTTCAATGATTTAGGTTAGCTTGCATTGCATTTCTGGTAGCAGCAAGATAACGCAAAATTACTTTCTAGAAAAAGTTTTAAAATAATAGAAACATCACTTCAATATTAGATTCTACAAAGAGTTTATGTAACACACAGGAGAAGTGACAACTTGACATTTAACCATTCTAGAGCAAAGGTTTCCTTGGACTGTGTCTTGGTGGGGAGAACCCTTGCCTAAGTGCTGAATAAAGACCAGTATCTCTCACTGGAACTAGCAGTATCTCTTACAGAAGTAAAAGGAAATCTTTGGTGGGGGCTACTGACTTTTATGAAAGACAGAAAAATGTATTTTTCCCTGAAGATATTTCCCTGTGAAAATACACTCCTCTTCTGTACTACAGCCAGTGTTGTAAATTATGTCACTGCCAGTTCTGATGCTCCATTCAAAAGCAGAGACTCTTAGCGAAGCCTGGGCCTCTCCACTGTGTTGGCTGTAGTATCTGGTGCTTTGTTTGTTTAATTTGTCACAGTTTTTGTTTCATGTGTAGTTCTTGTTCAAATTATGTTGCCTATGGCTGCAGAATCCTTACTTTCTCTGCTTCCAAAATTGCGATTTGTAACATGCCAGACTCCATAGGCCACCAGAAGTCACTTAGAAAAGGTGATGTAAGAAAGAGTATCTTGTAGTTTCTCCAACAGTTTTAAAATACTGAAAAGGACATAGAATGATCTAGATATAAGGGGTACTCATTTAAAAAATGATGTTACGATATATTCAGAGGCACAATAAAAGAGTTGATTTCCAAAGTGGATTTTGTAAGAAGATTTATTTTAATTAAGTGATTTCATGATGAAACATGGTCTTAAACAAAATAGAGATCAGTATGAAAATAAAATTATACACAGAAAAATCTTTTCCCCAAATGTTTTTGAGTAACAAGAAATACAACACAACAGTCCTGTATTCAACTGAGTAGATAGTTATGTAAATCTGTGAGCAGTCAAACATTATAGTACATTCCTTGAAGCCAGGCACAATGAAACACATTGTG